AGCCTATGTGTCCACACTATCCTTAAGGTCTAAAATTTATCGATATCCGTTCAGCCGTTTAGACTAAAAACTTATTATAATTTTGTAAATGTTTCATTAAACTAGGTGGCAATACACTTGACAACAGATATAGTACCGGTGAAAAAAAACTTTTTTTTCCACTGTTGCGTCTATACATTTTAATATCTTTACTACGTTTACGCAATACTAATAACAAGTTCCCTTTAGAGGCTCGCTTAGGCGCAACTTTAACGGCAGCGGGTCCACTCCGTGTGTTGAAGCCGCGTCGTCAAGTCACCAACCTTCGTCCACCAACTCCAGAAGTTGAAGCTGTGGATGATGATGAAGAAGATAATCATCAGCACGCGTTGCTACTCCAGAAGATTATAAGAGGTAGAGCAGTACAGAATCTGGTAAGTCAGAAAATAATCTCACAAATTTTCATTTCAGTTCTACATACAATTTTATATTTTTCTAGAAAATTTCAATATTCTAGAAACAAGAAGGATGTTAGTTGTGAGTGTGGTACACAGGTAGAGGTAGACATAGAAAGAGATGGATGGTATGAAAGGTGACATGATCAAGAAGGGAGTGACTGAGAGGACGGATGATAGAGTTATTTAGAGGATGAAAACCCGGTGCCTACCCTAAGGGAGTAGGATAAGGTAAGGGAGATTATGATGATTCCATTCTAGAAGTAGGTCCCCTAGTGTTAAAAGGAATGAGAAAAACGCATGATAGAAGGAAAATAGAGTAGGATTCTATAATATAGTCCTGTCTTCTAGATGTTCGAAGGTCGTACTCGTGCAGCTGAACTTACAGAAGAATTGAAGACAACTCATGGTCTTCAGAAAGAAGATAAAGCTCGTATCGCTAGAGAGGAAGCGAGGGCACGAGATCATATAGCATTACGTACGGAGACTGAACAAAAGGTTAATAAACTATTGAATTTTAATGGCTTCGGTCTTAAAAAAACTTTAACTAGGCTCGCTTTTACACGGTAACAATCTATACTAATATTCAAAACAGGAATGATTTATATTTGTGTAGTTATGTATTGAAATAACTCAAAAACTTCTGGGTCGATTATGAAAATTCTTTCACCATTAAAAAGGTAATTTAACTGTGAATTACATACATAGGTAACATTAAAAACAAGAAATATTTATATTTGTATATCTATTGAAATAACTCAAAAACTTCAGGGTCGATTATGAAAATTCTTTCACCATGAAAAAAGATAATTTAACTGTGAGTTACATAGGTTACGCATTTTATTTATTTTTATAATTTCACGCGGGAGAAATCTCATGAAACAGCTAGTTTTATTATATGTATATAAGTTAACGTTCCAATGTTTCTAGAAGTTTCCATCAATATTTGCAGGAGGACGCAGTGACCGCTTTAGTAGACGAGTTATGCGGAGGGGCGGTTGCTGCTGCTTTAGACTTCTTAGAGAAAGAACTACGAAGACTGAAAGAAGAAAGAAAACATCACGCGTTTATACTTATTGCTTGTGAGTTTTTACAATTTATTTTTAATGCATATTGTTTAGTTTTCCATTTTAATCCTTTGCCTTATTATGAAAAGCTTTTAGTCCCTTTCGCTTTCCACCCTTTTCTTATAAAAAAAGGATGGAAAGGGAAAGTCGATTTGACAGTGAAGGAGGCGCATGGGAAGGGGAAATATCTTCTTTATGTGTGTCTCCTTCTCCGTTTGTCTGGACAGCGGTCATTTCGCCATTTTGGCAAATTCATTGTATGAAAAGCTACTGCTGCATTTAAAATTATAGAAATTAGAATCACTCATTTCTCGTTTTCTTATTTTAGTACGTGAGAAGACGATGCGAGAAGCAGCAGAAGCAGGTAGAAGACAGAAAGAAGAGCACAGAAGACGAGAACATGATGAGATGTTCAAACGGGTAAGACAGCATTGTGTGCGGTGACGGGAAATAAACATGGCAACAATAAGGGAATCTCTAACACTAGCTGTTGCTCGCGACTTCGTCCACGTGATTAAAAAATAGAAAAAATGTAGCCTATGTTACTAAATCTATATCTATACTAATATCATTAAGAGGAAAGATTTGTATTTTTGTGTATTGAAATAACTCAAAAACTACTGGGTCGATTTCGAAGATTCTTTCACCATTAAGCTACGTTATCATTGAGTAACATGCTTTGTTTTTTTTTTATTTTTTTTAATTTTACGCGGACGTAATCGAGAGCAACATCCAGAAAGAAATGTAAACTCAGGTTCTAGGAGTGACTCAAGAGACAGTAGACGCATATCTAAAAGAGATAATTCAAGAAGGAGTGGAACTTGCGAGTGAAGAAGATGCAGTCAAGATGGCGCAGAACAAAGCTGATAAAATCGATGAAGTTATGAGAAATAATGGATCTATGTAAGTATCTTGCTATTATTTATTTATTTTTGTAGGAAATTTTTGGAATCGGCTCAGTAGTTTTTGAGTTACTTCAATACATACATAAATAAAAATCTTCCCACTTTATAATATCAGTATAGACACACAAAAATGCAAATCTTTCCTCTTTATAATATTGGTATAGATATTGAAAAAAATTCTCCAGGTCTACAGCAGAACAGAATGAATTAGTGGCAGAATTAGTTCAGCAGTTCCTGCTGCCGGAGGCACACAAGGCAGCATCACGACATCGCATCTCCGCGGTCCAGGAGAGTAAGATAGAAGCTGCTAGAAGAACTATATTTAAACTAATTGATGAATCTGCTGTGGAAAAAGGTGAATGGATCTAGAAAATTAATTTCTTCTAGACGTTTCTTCGATAAACCCTTGCTATTTCATGCTGTAGTTTGTCTAAATAAGATAGATTAGTTTGTTAAATGACGTATATGAAGTATCGAATTCAATTTCTATGAAGGAAAATGCCATATGTAATAGACAGGTATCGTAGTGACGAAACAAACACGCAGCGAACTATTTTGAACTATCGATATTCGGTTTAAATAATTATAGAACTCAACTAAAATTATTATTTTCTTATTAACTAATTTAGAGGACAATTCTAGTATTGATTATAGTGAAGAGAATATAGCGATGATAATAATAAAAGTGAAATAAAATAATCTGTCTGTTGCAGACACTTGTACTCGTTGTGGCGCGTTGTTAGACGACCTGTGTCGCTGCAGACGCTGCAAGTTGGATCTACAGCCGATAGCTACCATCTCACGGGATGATGCGAGGTGGAAGAAGGCCTTAGGTAAGTATATGATTCCACTGGCTTTGTAATTAAGCTAGGTAAAGTGGGATTCTAAATATACTAGCTGTTGCTCGCGATTTCGTTCGTGTCAGGAGTTCGAGTAAAGAATAATAAAAATGTGTAGCCTTTGTTATATTTAACGTAGCTTTTTATTGATAAGTGAATTTTAAATTGTCCCAGTAGTTTTTGAGTTTTTTCAATACATGCGAAAATACAAATCTTTCTTCTTTATAATATAAATATAGATAAATATGTTTTTGTCTAATTAATATATATTTTTATACTAATATAAAAAGGAAAGATTTGTATTTTTGTATGCATTGAAATAACTCAAAAACTACTGGGACAATTTCAAATTCTTTCATCATAAAAAAGCTACGTTATCATGAGTAACATCTTACTAATATTATAAATGCGAAAGATTAGATGGATGTTTGTTAGAGATTGTAGCCTAAACGGCTAAAGAGATCTCGATGAAATTTGCCATATATGTAGAGAATTTGACAGGAAGAACACATAGGCTATTTTTAATTCCGCACCGACGGAGTCGCGAGCGAAAGCAAGAAATCTATATATTTACATAATAAACTCGGACGAATTCGCGAGTAATAAGCTAGTAGGTAGATTATTTTTTACATGATTTTTAATTAACAGAAGGAGAGAAATTATTATATAAATAATAGTAAATAACGAGGTTATTTATTTTTTCAGGTCGTCCTCGACAATTGGATAAATCTTTCAATGAAAGGATTCCTCTTGAACACGAATTGAGATATAAATTAAATGATATAGTACATGATGGTAAGTTATTTTATTGTAATACTAGCTGTTCCCATGCGGCTTCATCCGCATGAAATTATGAAAAATTCATGTTATTGTTCACATTTGTTAATTTCATAATTGCAAATGTCAAAATGACATGATATGATGTCAAACCATGGCGACCTTGCTTGCGATGTTGGCAACAACTTATGATCTCTTTCCCACATTAGGATTTGTATTCAAAATACCCCTAAGTTTAACGACGTGAAAATATATAGCCTAAAGCGTGATGTAAGTGTAGGGCTTTTTATTAAAAAATATATTCAAAAATATGCTGTAATTGCTGACATGTTAGGCAACAAAGAAGTGTGTGTTTACGCTTTATTAATAGTATAGATGTAAGTGGTAATGAAACGGCGGTTGGTTTGGGACTGATTTATTATAAATCAACTGACGGTAGATTAGACAAACCTGCCTACATTTAACACAATATATTACAAGTACTTAGTTTTTTTTATTGAAAATATTAGTAGATTTTTGTTGTTACTAATATTTCCTTTAACCATTCCAACTAAGCTGTAGGCTTATGCTAGGATATGGTTCACAAGTCGAGTGGCGGGATTCGAACTCTCGACCCCAAGATCGGTACTCCGTACCACAAACCATTAGGCTATTGGCGCTTAGTAGACTTATATGTAAAAATGTTTCTTTCATACGAAAAATGTTTGTTTACTAGCTTTCGCACACAACTGCGTCCGCGAGGTATTAAAAAAAACAAACCCAGTATATGTACTTCTAGACTATTCTCTACATCTATACCAAATTTCATCGATATACGTTAATCAGTTTAGGCTACAAACTAACAAACATCCATCTAAAATTTCGCATTTATAATATTAGTAAGATATGAACTGGACGTAAAACCATGGTATTTTCAAAAATATTCATCCAAAAATAGAAACTTTTTTTTATCAAAGAATAACAACCATTATTTTTATTTCTATCAAAACTTTATATCTTACTTATATGTACATATAAATGCGAAAGTTTAGATGGATGGATGTTAGTTTGTAGCCTAACTACTGAACTGATCTGGATGAAATTTGGAACAGACGTAGAGGATAATCTGGAAGAATATATAGGCTACTTGCTTTTGTTTTTTTTTAATTCCACACTGACAAAGTCAGGGGCGAAAGCTAGTAAAGTTATAAATGTGAAAATTTGAATGGTTGTTTGTAGGTGTAGAGTCTGTAACACTTCTTACTTTTTAATTTACTTCCATGCGGAAACTCGCGGTCGAAAGTTAGTATAAATATATTTATATTTCCAGCGGTGACAATATCAAGAAGAAGAGGAATTGACCTGCAAGCTCTTAAGTTAGACTTCAAACAGGATTTGTATGAGAAATATCAAGTACTTATTGACGCGAGGCAGGCGGTTGATGATGGTGAGATAATTTTAAATTATATTTTATTGCTATAATAATAATTTTAACGGATTTTAACAGTGGTAGTACCCCCAGTAATACCACGACCACACAGAAGACAGGCGTCAAATGGAAGCAATTCCGTGTTTCGTCTGATGAGTGTGGTGCCGGAGGCATAATTTAAGCCCCTTACTCCTTGCCACCCTTTTCTTATAAGGAGAGGATGGGAAGGGGAAGTGGATTTGACGAAGATGTATAGGAACGGGAACTATCCTCTTAATGTGCGTCTCCTCCTCCGTCGGAAAATTCAGATGGCCGCTTGCTCGTTTGCCACCTTATGTTATAAAAAAAATCGGGTCTTTCACACGAGGGTAGCTTATACATGCGGGAATGTTATAACCTACTTTTTAATCATTAATTGCATGATGATGCATTTATACGTCAGTCTTCTCTTCCACACCCAATAGATTATTTAAAAAAATATATTTCCCTTGATCTATGTTCAATTTACTACCCGTTTCAATTTTGGGGTATTTAAAAAGAAAAAAATCATGCATTTTAGGGTTAAAATTCCGTAATATCGAAGTTTTCATACGACCGTTAATATTCGTAGCAATAAACCGTGCGATGGGAGTGCTGTCGCCAGCAGTCCGGCATCCGGAGCAGCGTTACTTCATGATGAGGAGGATCTCTGATGCTCTCGGCAGGACGGAGCCGTATCCAAAATCAACTTGTAAGTATTATATTAACAGTGGTAGAGTTTTAATATCTCATTGTAAAGCTCTTCATACATATACGCGTGAAGTGGAAGTGATTCCGCGTATATATGAAGGCGGTAAGTGGAAGTAATTCCACGTACATATGAAGGCGTGAAGTGGAAGTAATTCCACGTACATATGAAGGCGTGAAGTTGAAGTAATTCCACGTACATATGAAGGCGTGAAGTTGAAGTAATTCCACGTACATATGAAGGCATGAAGTGGAAGTAATTCCACGTACATATGAAGACGTGAAGTTGAAGTAATTCCACGTACATATGAAGGCATGAAGTGGAAGTAATTCCACGTACATATGAAGACGTGAAGTTAAAGTAATTCCACGTACATATGAAGGCATGAAGTGGAAGTAATTCCACGTACATATGAAGACGTGAAGTTGAAGTAATTCCACGTACAAATGAAGGCGTGAAGTGAAAGTAATTCCACGTACATATGAAGGCGTGAAGTTGAAGTAATTCCACGTACATATGAATGCGTGCCGAAGGATTTTAGTGCTGTTGTAAACGTTAAAATAATTTATATATAGTTTTAATTGTATTTATTATTTGCCAGGTTTCCAGACACATATTTTATTCTGAACTGTCGGTTACTTTTCTACAGCCAGTATCTTATCTTGGTTATTATAAATGCGATGGATAGATGGATGTTTGTTAGAGTTTGATAAACTGCTTAACGGATTTCGATGAAAGTCGTATATGTAGAGGATAGTCTGGAGCACATATACTTACTTTTGTTTTTCTTAATTCCACTCGAAAGGAGTCACGAGCGAAAGCTAGTTTGTTATAGAAGACCCTTTCGCTTATACTAGATCTTGCCCGCGACTCCGTCCTCGTGGAAAAAAAAAGAAATTGTGCCTATGTGTTCTTCCAGATTCTACATCTATGTAAAATTTTATCGAAATCCATTTAGCTCTTTAGGCTACAAACTCTGACAAACATCCATCCATCGAATTATTCCCAACCGTCACCCCACTCTGTCCCCACGTGGAGAGAGATGAGAGTAAATAGTTTCATCAGTCTTCTAGCGCGAGGGGAAGGTTGGAATTTGTTATTTCATAACACTTACATCTGTCGCCTTATTGGTGATTGGAGGACTAAAAAGTGGGACGGATGAAACTTTTCATTCTCACATGGGGACAGAGCCGGGTGACTTTTGGGAATAATCCCATCAATCTATCTAAACTTTTGCATTTATAATATTAGTATGATATAGTAAAATTATCTTCTATATAGGTCCAAAAGAATTACCTTCTGAGATCCGACGTCGTGCTGAGGAGAAATCAACTGATATAACGTGCAGATGTGAAGGTGAAGGGACTGCGAGTGATGAGGAGTTTGGTGAGTAAAATCACCATAATCATCGTTTTCATCACCATTCCCATAATCAAAATATCGTAGATCAAATGTTTAAAATCAAATTTGTTGATTTTTTTGGATAAATTATGGCCATTCTACTATAACTTCCAAATGAAAAAAATAAATACTGTTGCGAATTGAAACGATTTAATAATTTATTAATTCAAGTTCTGACTTTTCCAAACAACATAACCATAGAAACCGATTCTATATAACAATCAAAGAGTATCAAAAATCATAAAATTTGTCATAAATTAAAAAGCTTATTATCAAAGAATATTCAACGTAACAATACCCAATTACGTAAACGTCGCTTGCAATCTTATAGGCATCAGAATTTAAGGGCCTGTCCCACAATACTTGTAAATTGTCTGGTAACACCAGTGTAAAATATGTGATGCAAATATCGCAATTTGGTACTCTACCTGACAATGACGTTACTTAGCTATCTGAGTTTCTATCAGCCAGTGGTGGGATAGGCTCTAAGTGTCTCAAAATATGTATAGTTTGACTGTTTTAATTTGATTATCAGTATGTTAAATTAATTTAGAATAGCTTAAGTTAAGATAGAATTGTGAAGGGGTACTAACAAAGTTGAGCAGAGGCCCTATCAGTTGTGCATTGTAACGCATAGACATTCTAAGTCTATGTATGTTTAGTTATGTTCTCTGCAATTTTTTTTTTATTAGTTTTCATTATTACTAGTTTTTTCTTATTTGTATTATTTGTTTAAATGTATTTATTATGTTGCATTAGAGTTGATCAATTTTTTTATAATGTAAGTTGGCAAACTCGCAAGCGACCTGAATCCACAGAAATGTATAGCGACCGCTGCACATAAACATCCGCAATTGCAGCGTTGCCTACCCTTCATTGACGGAGACGCACGTAAAGAGGATATTTCTCTTTCCTATGCATCTCCTCCACCGTCAAATCCATTCCTTCCCATCCTTTCCTCTTAAGAAAAGGATGGAAAGGGAAAGAGACTAAAATTAAGCCTTGCTGTTTGTTATTATTTTCTTTTTAAAATTTAGCCTGATTTTACTATTCTATATGAGCTTAAGAACTTTTTCTTATTTCTCTGTACAAATTGTTTTAATAATTTGTTAAAGTTCTCCCAGAAGATATATCGACAATGTTGCCCTCACAACTGCGAGCGTTGGAGGACCTCAAGCGATGCAAATGTGACTCCAATCCAGAACAATTTGATGATACGGAGAGATCTGGTAATATCATGTTTATAATACAGATAATTTAAAAACACTAGCTTTGATTTAATCTGGATGGATGGATGTTTGTTAGAGTTTGTAGCCTAAACTGCTGAACGGATTTGAATAAAATTTTGGTACAGATGTTGAGAATAGTCTGGAACATATAAGCTATTCACTTTTGTTTTTTTTTAATTCCACGCGGACGGAGTCGCGGGAGACAGCTTGTCTATCTATACAAATAATAAAATTGGAGTGTCTGTTTGTATCAAAGGGAAAAATTCCAGATTTCGGGAAGATGATGAATTTGCGTTGCTCATAACCAAAATCGCATTTAATTTTTTTTTCTGTTTGTCTGTCCGCAAGCCGCGTTTGTTCCGGGTAATCTCCGACTTTCACTAAAGGGTAGCTCATAGGTAGCCTGTAGTCTACTTTTTTTTATTTCCGCGCTCTAAAATGGCGTAACATGTGGTCCAATGCTAAGTTTGCGGGCGACCGCTCGTTCGTAGTAGACACATAGTTCTGACAGTTTGATGAACAGTCGAAGTTCAATTATAATTTAGAACTTAAAGCCTTAGAAATAAACGCGTTATAAAGTTAAACTTAGGAATAAAATAAGTATAATCAAATATTATAGTGTGTCTAAATAATTTAGATTAGTTTGACAATTCATTTCAAATTTAGTAGGGATGGATTGTGTAATAAGTCATGAATCTTATCGATTTTCGATTTTTATTCTTATAGAAGTTGGAATCGATAGATTTATAGTTATAACTTATGGATTTTTTAAAAAAAAAAAACACTGTTTTCTCAAATTATTAATGACCATAACAAATAATGGAAGTAAATAAATGTTTATTACTAATAGCCGTACGTATTGGAATTGGATTTCGCTATTTTTTCTGTCATCGGTAAATTCTCTACACTGTAATCAATACTAAAATTGTCCTCTAAATTCGTTAATAAGAAAATAAATAACCGAATATCGATAGTTCAAAATTGTTCGCTGTGTGTTTGTTACGTCACTACGATACCTGTCTATTAAGTACGGCATTTACCTACAAAATTGAATTCGATACTTCATGTGCGTCATTTATCAAACTAATCTATCTTATTTAGACAAACTATTGTACAAATCTTAATTATACCAAGTTTATACCGCGTTTTATTTGAGAGCTATTGGGTTTTACTCTCTAGAAGTCGAAATAACACCTTCCTTATCTCCTTAGATACAGCACAAGAGGGAACTGAACAGTCTTCCGATGAAGGGGAAACAAGATCTGAGAAATATTACAATAAAAGTATTTGATTTGTTAGAGAATTGTTTTGAAATTCAAATATTACTTCGTGATTGTTTTTTTCGAATTTTGTGAAATGTTAAAATTAAACGGTTTTGAATATGATTGTTTTTGATTTATTCTTTATCTTAAAATAACTATTTGCTAGTTATGTTGTATTTAAATTATAAAAAAAACTTTTATTTTATTGTTAAATACTCAAATGACAATGAAGGCCTTTGCTATTGGCTGAGAATTTAAGTAACCAATCTTGCTTCTTTGCTGTTATTGGCTTGTAGTTTTTGTCCCTTTCTAGCAAAGCTATTATTTCCAATTTTCTCACTCCATAAATTTATAGTGAAAATATATAGCATATAGCGTGTTGTAAGTTTTTATTAAAGAAAGAATTATTCAAAAATTTACTGTGATTGTTGACATCATACGTAACAAAGTGTGTGTTTACGCTTTATTATATTAGTACAAACTTCCGCCCGCGACTTTGTCTGCGTGGAATTAAAAAAAAACAAAAATAAGTAGCCTACGTGATCTTCCAGACTATCCTCCACATCCATGCAAAATTTCATCGAGATCCGTTTAGTGGTTTAGGCTACAAACGCTAGCAAACATCCATCCATCCATCTAAACTTTCGCATTTATAATATTAGTATGATAGAACATAGAACTGAATAAATTAATTGCACATTTTGAAATTTAATATTTGGGTTGTAAAGAAAAATACAAATATATTTACTATTTCTTTATTTTGCTTACTCCATTTCCATAAAGCTTAGAACAGTGTATAAAACAATTTCATAATAATTTTTCTTAAATCTAGAATAATTAAATACATTGATATGGCGAGAAATAATGCGTATTTTATTTACGATTATGATTTACTACAAAGATATAGACCTACAAGGGTCTTATGGAACTTTTTGACATTGACAGAACACCTGTTTTTAGTGTTACCAGTAAGCAAAAATTGCTAACTTTTGAAATTATATGTTGAAAACAAAACTAAACGAAAAACTAATTTGCAATTTAATTATGTAAATTTTTATATCTTTACAATTTGGGACAATTTTAAGATTTAAGCAAACGAGGTAAGCTTTTCTGTGGAACTTGGAAATTATGAAGTCGACATTCCGTGCAGTTGCTCCTTTATTGGTCAAAATATGACGTTTTCAAGACATAGGTCACTAAATTTACAACTGACATCATCATTCAATATGTGAGAAGTCCCGCAGTGTAGTTGACTATGACATAGTCACTAATTAAGAGTACGCTTCCCCTCAGTTGAGTTGCTGAGGAGATCACAACCAGTCACCAACGGGCGTGTGTTCAATTATTTATTCGGTGAACAGTAAAGTCACGAAACCAGAAGAGGTTTAGTGGGTAGGCTCCACGTCCTTTTTATTAGGGATGAGGAGAGAGTCCCACATACCCAGTGTGTTCTTAAGACAACTGGGATGCGTAACGCATTCCCCTCTTAAAAAAACTCCCCTTTAGTGGGGAAGTACAGTGAGCTGATACGATCCTTGTAGGTCTATACTACTCTAAATGTCATCTGACTAGCGTCCTGTCAATAGACAAGTTTTCGCTGTACAGCTGTCTTATTTGTGAATTTTATTCCCTACGTTTCACATATGTTGAACCAAAGAGATTCAATATATATATAGAGGAGGCATTGAAACTTCACTTGAGACATTTTTCATATGATCTTAACGCCATCTATTGATAGATCCTCAAAACTAATTTCGATTTTATTTTTATTTTGTAACACTGTTTAGTTTATTTTATAACAAAAGATGGCGCTTATTATAATTTAGTAATATTTTTTATTACATGTCAATACACGAGGTGACACTAAACTTGACAACTGGTATAGTACCTATCAGGGAAAGTACCAGTGAAACAAAATTGTTCACGGCCTCGTCTATACATGTTTAAATATCTTTGCTTATAACGATAGGCTAGATATTTGACTATAATTATCGTGCACGAGTTACATAAATCGAATTACATTTGACGTTAGCTGAGTGACGTCATCAATAATAGAGTTGCCAGTATCAATTGTGATTTGATGACGTCAGAGGAGTTGCAGGCGTCCGCGTCGTTGCAACTCTGCAGGCAGCCGTGTACATACCTGAAAGATATTTGAATTTAAATGCCTATAGACTATTGGTGTACGGGCTACTGTTGTAGATCCTGAGTTAAAATCCCATCTACAGGATGTCTGGAAAAGATCTGTACTACCACAGATTCCTTTGTCGAAAATATGACGATTTGCCCCAACTTTTCTATATCCAAAGTTGTTCCATTTGGGCGCTAGATGGCGCTTAATTTTGCGAATTATTTTATACTAGCTGTTCCCGTGCGGCTTTATCCGCATGAAATAATAAAAAAAATATTTCATTGTTTACATTTACCAAATTATCAATAGCAAATGTCAAAATGACATGACATGACAAACCTTAGCAATCTTGTTTCCTTAATGTTGGCAGCATCTTATGGTCTCTTTCCCACATTAGGGATTTTATTCAAAATATTTACCCCTTAAGTTTTAGGTGGGTGAAAAAATATAGCCTAAAGCGTGTCGGAAGTGTTGGGCTTGTTATTAAAAAAAAGAATTATTCAAAAACATGAGGTAATTGCTGACATCTTAGGCAACAAAGAAGCGTGTGTTTACGCTATATATTATATGTTTGTGTTATATCTCTTAAATACCCTTGTGTGTTTGTCTTGCTTCTCCTGTCCCACTAAGTTGCCTAGAAGAAATCGCTCTTAGCGATTTCTTTACTTCGTTACTTAATTTAAGCTTTGTTGTATATGTGCAAAAGTATTAAATAAAATAAATAAATAAATAAATGAGCTCATAGAAATCAAAGCGCGACTAAACAGTTGTGCGACAGTTTAGTTATGCTCTAAAAAGGTGTAAGTAGTATTTTCATACCTATCATCGTAGTAGAATCGTCCGCAGTGAGACATACGAATGATCTCAGTGTCGGTGGTAGCAGTCCCCGAGTCCAGCCCGCAGCCGCGGACTGTAATCTTTTCACCAGTGTCGTCTGAAATACACATTAAAAACAGATAAATATGGAAGCTCCATATAAACAAAATATACAGATATTTTTTTTTGCATCAAACGAGCAAGCGGCCACCTGAAACCGCCAAAATGGCGAAGCGACCGCTGCCCATAGACATCCGCCATTGCAGATGCGTTGCCTACTGTTATACGACGGAGGAGGAGACGCACATAAAGAGGATATTTCCCCTTCCTATGCATCTCCTCCACCGTCAAATCCACTTCCTCTTCCCAACCTCTCCTTAAAAGAAAAGGGTGGTAAAGAGAAAGGGACTTAAATTAGGCCTCTGGCACCACAATCATCAGACGAAACACGGAATTGCTTCCATTTCACGCCTGTCTTCTGTGTGTGTGAGATATAATGTCAATAAACAACCACTGCAATCTATACTAATACGAGAGAGAGAGAGAGAGAGAGAGAGAGAGAGAGAGAGTATGATTTGGAGGAGAGTTATTTGGAGGACAAAAACCTGTTGTGCCGACCCTACGGAAGTAGGATAAGGAGATGATGATGATGATGTAATCTATACTAATACTAGCTGTTGCCATGCGGCTTCATCCGCATGAAATTATGAAAAATTCATTTTATTGTTTACATTTGTCAAATTATCAATAGCAAATGTCAAAATGACATGACAAACCTTAGCAATCTTTCTTTCTTGATGTTGGCAGTATGGTCTCTTTCCGACATTATGGTTTTTATACAAAATATTAACCCCATTAGTTTATGGCGTGAAATATATTGACTAAAGTAAGTGTAGGGCTTTTTATTAATAAAAACAATATTCAAAAATATGCTGTAATTGCTGACATCTTAAGCAACAAAGAAATGTGTGTTTACGCTTTATTATAATAGTATAGATAATAAAGCGTAAACACACTACATCGTGTCGTAAGATGTCAATCACAGTATATTTTTGACCAATATCATCTCCCCTGCCTTATCCTACTCCGTAGGGTCGGCGCACCGGGTTTTCGTCCTCCAAAGCACTCTATCATCCGTCATCTCAGTCATCACTCCCTTCTTGATCATGTCACCTTTTACAGTATATTTTTGACCGACTTCCCAAAAGAAGGAAGTCCACAATTCGTCTGTATGTTTTTTTTTATTTTTTTTATATGTGTTACGGCATAACTCAGCCGCTAGTGGACCGATTTTGATAATTCTTTTTTTATCCGAAAGGTATTGCTTGCTGGTTGGTCCCATTTTTTTATTTGATTAATAATCATAGGATGGATGTATGTTAGAGTTGGTAGCCTAAACTGCTGAACGAATCTCGATAAAAATTTGTCATAGATGTAGAGGATAGTCTGGAACACATAGACTACTTTTGTTTTTTTAATTCTACGCGTACGGTGTCG